GGCCTTTGGGGGGGGGGTCTTTCGGAAGCTTCTGGAGGGTTTTTTGGAGGCTTCTTGGGGGCCTCTTGGGGCCTCTTCGGGGCGTCTTCGGCCGTCTTGGCGCTTTTTGCGCCGTTTCGCCCCCTCGGAGGCTGTCCTCGGGGCCTCTCGCGGCCGCATTGGAGCCCTCTTGGGGTCCTCTTGGGCCGTTTTCGCGGCCTCTTGGACCGTCTTGAGGGCCTCTTTGGGCCGTTTTGGGGCCCTCCTGGGCCGTCTTGGAGCCCTCTTGGGGACCTTTTTGGTTTGTTCTGGGGCGATTCTGGAAGGTGCTTGGGCCGTCATGGATTTGCGAAAGTCGAAAAAGACGAGAACGCTAAAATATTGCAAAATCCACCGGGAAATCAATGATTTCGGCCTCTGGAGGCGCAGTTGTGGGCGCTTTGGGGGCCCTCTTGGGCCGTCCTTGGAGTTTTTGGTGCAGTCTTGGGGGCCTCATGGGCCCCCGTTGGGAATATCTTGGGCCGTCTTGGGCTGTCTTGGGGTCATCTTGGGCCATCTTGAGGCCCTCTTGGAGCCCCAAGAGGCCCAAGAGGTCGAATTGGATGATTGTTCATAGGCTTTTGGTGGTTTTAATGGCCCCGGAAGGGGGGGGGGGCCATCTTGGTCCGTTCATGTGGCGCGACTGCAGGGGGGGGGTATGGGGGGGAGACATAAGAATGTAACACAGTACAGCAAATGGGAATTATGCAAACATTGGACACATTGGACCCACTGCGTTACAGCATCCGCGGAAAACGCTGCCGCTCAGCACGTCGCTTCCAGGCGTGGATTCCTCTCGCTTCGCGGGGTGCACGTCCGGAGCACGTACAGTCACGTCGTCGCGGGGCCTCTTGGGAGCCTCTTGGAGGCCTCTGGAGGCCTCCTGGAGCTTTTTGGGGGCCTTTCCCTTTTCCTTTTCATACACCCTCCCCATCTTCCCTTTCAGCGCCGGCTCTAATCATGGGCGCCGCAGTGACCAACTTCCGCCTGGCTGGCGCTGCGCCGCAATTCGCCCAGAGGAGGGACAGTGACATTACACTCCAGTCGCTGTGTGGCCTTTGGGGGGGTGTGGGGGGCCTTTTCGGAAGCTTCTGGAGGGTTTTTTGGAGGTTTCTTGGGGGCCTCTTGGGGCCTCTTCGGGGCGTCTTCGGCCGTCTTGGCGCTTTTGCGCCGTTTCGCCCCCTCGGACGCTGTCCTGGGGGCTTTTCGCGGCCGCATTGGAGCCCTCTTGGGGTCCTCTTGGGCCGTTTTCGCGGCCTCTTGGACCGTCTTGAGGGCTTCTTTGGGCCGTTTTGGGGCCCTCCTGGGCCGTCTTGGAGCCCTATTGGGAGTTTTTTTGTTTATTTTGGGGCAAAGACGAGAACGCTAAAATATTGCAAAATCCACCGGGAAATCAATGAAGTCGGCCTCTGGAGGCGCAGTTGTGGGCGCTCTTGGGGCCGTTTTGGGCCGTCCTTGGAGCTTTGGGGGCCGTCTTGGGGGCCTCATGGGTCCCCGTTGGGAATATCTTGGGCCGTTTTGGGGCCGTTTTGGGCCGTCTTGGGGTCATCTTGGGCCATCTTGAGGCCCTCTTGGAGCCCCAAGAGGCCCAAGAGGTCGAATTTGTTGATTTGTCATACGTTTTTGTAGCGCTTAAGGCCCCAGAAGGGGAGGGGGGGGGGGCATTTTGGTCCGTTCATGTGGCGCGACTGCAGGCGGGGGTGGGGGGGAGACATAATCGAAACCAATTGCCCTAACCAGCTCAACCTGCCAACCCGTCCAACCAGCCAGCCAGCCCGCCCAGCCAACCAGCCCAGCCACCCACCCCGTCACCCCGCCAACCAGCCGATCCCCTCCGCCTGCTCTCCGTGCCCAACCCGCCACCCTGCCAACCCGCTTTCCCCCGCCGCCTGCCCTCCGTCACCGCCGAGAGGGGGGGGAAGTGTTTCTTACCAGCGAAAACCAGAAAACTAGCCCTCCCGGGGACCGGCGGGACAGCGGGGAGGGGGCAAATCGCAGCGTATTATGCGGGAGGGGGAAAGGCAGGGGGGGATACCCGGGACGATTTTGGGCCTCAAGTGTGATACTGTCGTATTTTTCAACGTTCACCGCGCCCTCTTTCTCAACGGGAAGGCTCCCATCCTTGAAACTGTCGTCAATTTTGAGGCCCCCCGCGTGGCTTCTCAGAGAGCCGCCAGGAGGCTCCAGGAGGCCTCAGGTGGCCTCAGGAAGCTCCAGGACATTTCAGGACGCCCTAGGAGGCGATGGGAAAGCCCAGGAGGCTGAAGGACGCTCCAGGAGGTCCCAGGATGCCCCGCGAGGTCCCACGAGGCCTCAGGAGGTCCCATCACGCTCCGGGCGTATCCTGAACGACCCAAAAGTTCCAGAACGCTGCGGAGGCCCCTGGAGGGCTGAGGATGCCCTAGGCGAGCCCAGGAGGTATCAAGAGGCCGCAGGAAGTCCCCAGAGGTTGCTATCCCAGGAGGCCCCCGGGATTACCAGGAGGCTCCATGAGGTCCCATGGTACATCACGCCCGAGGTAGGGAGGGGGAGGCGGAGGAGGAGGAGGACGTGGAGGAGGAGGAGGAGGAGGAGGAGGAGGAGGACAAGGAAAAGGAGGAGGAGGACGAGGAGAAGGATGAGGAGGAGGACGAGCATGATGAGGAAAGGATGAACAGGGTGACAGCGTGACGCCCCAGCAAATACACTTGGTCCACTTGGTTTCTACCCTGGTAATGTAACACAATACAGCATGTGGGAATTATGCAAACATTGGACACATCGGATCCACTGCATTACAGCATCCGCGGAAAACGCTGCCGCTCAGCACGTCACTTCCGGACGTGGATTCCTCTCGCTTCGCGGGGTGCACGTCCAGAGCACGTACATTCACGTCGTCGCGGGGCCTCTTGGGAGCCTCTTGGGGGCCTCCTGGAGGCCTCCTGGGAGTTTCTTTGGGGCCTTTCCCTTTTCCTTTTCAGACACCCTCCCCATTTTCCCTTCCAGCGCCGTCTCTAATCATGGGCGCCGCAGTGACCAATTTCCACCTGGCTGGCGCTGCGCCGCAGTTCGCCCAGAAGGGGGGGAAATGACATTACACTCCAGTCGCTGTGTGGCCTTTGGGGAGTTTTTTGGATGCTTCTTGGGGGCCTGTTGGGGCCTCTTCGGGGCGTCCGTCTTCGGCCGTCTTGGCGTTATTGCGCCGTTTCGCCCCCTCGGAGGCTGTCCTGGGGGCTTCTCGCGGCCGCATTGGAGCCCTCTTGGGGTCCTCTAGGGCCGTCTTCGCGGCCTCTTGGACCGTCTTGGGGGCCTCTTTGGGCCGTTTTGGGGCCTTCCTGGGCCGTCTTGGAGCCCTCTTGGGTTTTGTTTGTTTGTTCTGGGGCGATTCTGGAAGGTGCTTGGGCCGTCATGGATTTGCGAAAGTCGAGAAAGACGAGAACGCTAAAATATTGCAAAATCCACCGGGAAATCAATGAAGTCGGCCTCTGGAGGCGCAGTTGTGGGCGCTCTTGGGGCCGTTTTGGGCCGTCCTTGGAGCTTTGGGGTCGTCTTGAGGGCCTCGTGGGCCCCCGGGGGCATATCTTGAGCCGTCTTGGGCCGTCTTGGGGTCATCTTGGGCCATCTTGAGGCCCTCTGGGGGCCTCAAGAGGCCCAAGAGGTCGAATTCGTTGATTTGTCATCGGTTTTTGCCGGTTTCTATGACCCCGGAAGGGGGGGGGCATCTTGGTCCGTTCATGTGGCGCGACTGCAGGGGGGGGTATGGGGGGGAGACATGATAATGTAACACAGTACAGCAAGTGGGAATGATGCAAACATTGGACACATTGGATCCACTGCATTACAGCATCCGCGGAAAACGCTGCCACTCAGCACGTCACTTCCGGACGTGGATTTTGAGGCTTACGCAACATCGCCGACTCCTTTGTTTTCCTTGGGGGCTTCCTGGGGGTCCCTGGGGCACGTTGGGGGCGTCTTGGAGCCGAAGGTTGGAAGTGGCCGTTCCAGTTTGGGAGCCAATGGGGCCGTTTTAGGGCGGTCATGGAGGCATCTTGGAGGGTCTTCCGCGCTGTGAAGGCCGAACCGTCGTATATCGAAGCCGATGGGAGGGCCTCTTGGGGCCTCTTGGAGGCCTCGAGGGAGCCTCTTGGAGCCTCTTGGGTGTTTTTTGGGGGGGCGTCTGGACGCGTTTTGGGAGCCTCTTGTGGCCGCCTGGGGGCCTCGAGGGGCGGACGGCTGGACTGTTAGTTTCGTGGTCCCTCTTTCAGGCCCCTCCTGGGGCCGTCTTGGAGCCCTGTTGGGTCGTTTTGGGCGCCTCTTGTGACGTATTGGGGGCGCTTTGGGGGCTTATGGGGCCGTCTTACGACGGTCTTGGAGGCATCTTGGAAGATCTCCCGCGCTGCGAAGGCGGAAAAATTGTATGTGCTAGAAATCCACGTTTCCCTAAGGGAATTTGCCGATTTTGGCCTCTTGGAGGCCTCCTGGGAGGCCTCTTGGAACGTCTTGGCGGCCTCTTGGGCCGTCTTCGGCCCATGTTAGGCGTGTTGGAACGATCTTTCGGCCCAAGTTCGACGTCTCGGAACGATCTTTCGGCGTCTCGGGGCCCTCTTGGGCCGTCTTGGGGGCCTCTTGGGCGGCCCCAGAAGCTGTCGTGGACCTCCAAAAGGAGACTGGGAAGGGCCGGACCCCCCTGGTGAGCTTTGGCCGGACGGCCCCCCCCCCTCCAGATCGACCGGACCGGGCTCGGGGGAGGGGCTTGGGGAGGGGAAGCATCTCACACGCGGATGATCCCCAAGGGGTCGGCGGATTTCGAGCAGCATGCGCAGATGATACGTCCACATGCAAGCATTGCGCACGCACGCGCGGGGGCACATGGAAGGTTGAAGCATGACTCGAGCCATGCTCTTGTCCGCCAGGGCTTGTAGATATTTTGTGCCGGGAGCCTGGATATGTACTTGCGGCCATTCCAGATCATGTGCCGCGCCGTTGGTGAATATGAGTGGGAGGTGTGCACGAGGGTTTGGACTTTACCAGCAGCTGGGCGTTGGGCTCGGGTCCCGACCCCGCGAACAACTGCTACATAGGTGCCGAAGGATGGGGCGGGAGTGTGCCGCAGCATCGCGTGAGGCTCAGCACAGGCGGGCAGTGGAGTGCAGGCCCTTTGGTCACCGAACTTAGCGAACCACGCCGCGCGATGGGCGACGCGCGGCTACCTTCACAGCCTCGCGCCGCCCCCTGGAGAGGGGGGGCAGCTCTCTGACCCAGTCCGTGCGACGCGCGAACGCTGGCTATCCTCGCGCCCCCTGGGGGGGGGACCTGGAAGCCCACCCGAACGGCACCAGCAGGGCATGCCCTCGAGCTGCCGCCAGCAGGGGCAGATGCTCAGTGCTTCGCGCGTCCCCCATCGGCCCCTCCAGATCCGATTCCCAGGCAGGTTGCCTCGATCAGGACAGCACAGTCGGGGCGCTGAAGGAGGAACCCTTCTCGTTGGGGACGGGCGCGGTGTGCCGTAACTGTTTCACAGCTCGCCTAAGGTTTCCCGTGAGTTTTCGATTGGAAGTCGAAGTTCGACCTCATTATGGAATAAGGGGGGCCGCGTTCCTTGACTTCGAAGTTCGAAGTTCGACTTCATTAAGTTGGAAGTCGAAGTCGTCCTTCATTAAGTTCGAAGTCGAAGTCGAAGTCGAAGTTGGAGTTGCGTTCCTTTTCGATTGGAAGTCGAAGTCGAAGTTCGACTTCATTAAGTTTATCGTTCCTTCGGTCAACGCCACGACTGCACAGGGGACGGGGCGGGCAGCCGTTCAGCCCAAGAAGGCCCCAGAAGTCAACAATAACGCGTTTTTGCTCAGAGCTACGGCCGGATGCGAATTTGGAGTCGGGCCCCCACCAATGGCCAAGCACGGGACCTCTGGGAGCTTTTGGGGGCCCAGAGATCCAACGCACTGAAAAATCACGACGGATGTTTTTCGCGATGTTCGGCCTCTTGGGGCCCTTACCAGGCATCGGGACCGTGAAAAAAAACCATTCAGGATAAAAAAAACTGGTCCTGGGGAATGGGTCGAGACTTCGGGGACCCCGTATTGAAACAAAAACACGACATCGGATCTCTGGGGAGGCTTCTCGGGCAGATTTTGTGAGCATGTGGGGCTCCCCTGGGGTTCTCTCGGGGCCCTCCTAAGGGGCATTCGGGGCCATCTCGAGCCGATCCCAGAGACCATGCATTGAAAAGAAGAGCCGAGGTACCCTTCCCCGGGTCGGAGCCAGGAACAGGCATCGCAGGCCCGTCTGAAGCGAGAAGGCGAGAGCGCAAAATCACAACAGTAACAGCAACAGCAGCAGCAGCAGCAACAACAGCAGCAACAACACCAGCACCGCCAAACTCAACAACAACAACAACAGCAACAACAACAACAGCAACAGCAACAGCAACAACAACAACAACAACAATAACACCAAGAACAACCACAACAGCAACAACAATCATTTTAAGACTGTTAGCTCACATCTGCTCGCCCTGACAGTCATCACGTATATCCCAAACCCTCGGTACCCGCCCTGGTCGTCTTCGATCGTACCCCCTAGGGGGCATATCTTCATTACCTGCCACGCGTAGTTAGTGCAGCCCTTAAAACAAGGGAAGAGAGGTCGGGTGGAAGGGGGAGGGAGAATAATGGAGCACGAGAGAAATTAGCTGGAGGGGGGCAAGGGGCAGAAAACAAATGGCATAACCAGACGGGCAGATTGGGTGGGCAAACCCATAGCGGGCATGTCGGGAAGGCGGGCCCAGGCGACGAGGTCGAGCAGGCGGGTTGCTGAAGCGTGGGTCCTGCATGAATCGCGAGGACGTCTCGAGCGATGGCGCGATTCCCAAGTATATCGTGAGAACAGCCAGCGTGGGCCATAAGGGCATAAAATCCGAGGCCACTGAGGGCAGCGACGGCGCCGCTGAGGGCAGCACCAGGGCCACGAAGGGCAGCGAGGGGGGCCACAAAGGGCGACAGCAGGGCCACGAAGGGCATGCATATGGGGCCACGACGGGCGCGAGCGAGCGGGGGCCACGAAGGGCATTCGTATACGGGGCCACAAAGGGCGACAGCGGGGCCTCTGAGGGCAGCAAAGGGGCAACGAAGGGCAGCGAGGGGGCCACGAAAGGCGACAGCGGGGCTACGAAGGACATGCGTATGGGGCCACGACGGGCGCGCGCGAGCGGGGGCCACGAAGGGGCCACAAAGGGCAGCGACGGGAGCACTGAGGGCAGCAACGGGGCCACGAAGGGCAGCGAGGGAAGGCGACCGCGGAGCCAGTTCGGGCAGCGAGGGGAATCGAAGGCGGGCGAAGGGCAGCGAGCGGCGACTGCAGTCATTAACGGGCTGGTCGGGCGGGCAGGCCCCGACGGGCCGGTCGAGCGGGCGGGTCGTTGAAGCGAGAGTTTTGCTTGAACAGCCATGCAATATGTAGCGGGAGCGCGATTCCTGAGTGTCGAGGACCGGCATCTGAATAAATTGAGGAGAAGTATCAAGTGAAGCGGTTCGGTGGTAAGTTGCGAGGAACTCCCAAGCGAGAACGCGATTTTGCAACAGGTTGTCAGGAAGTACGAGGCGGGAGCCGCGATCCGGTGGCACATTGCAAGAAAATCAAAAGCGAGAGCGCGATTCTTGGATACATTGTGAGGAAGTATCAGGCGCGAGCCGCTGTTGTTGTAAACCAGGGGCCAACGACACAGTTTGACCTTCAAGACTTTCCCTGATGATAGCAGGTTGCAAGCCCCAGGAGGGGCACCTCAATCGAAAAAATACAGTGTGCACCTGGCGTGGGGATCAATCATAGTTATTCTTTAGAAGTGAGAGCTCAACAACAACACCAGCACCGCCAAACGCACCAACAACAGCAATAACACTAAAAACAATCACACCAACAACACCACCAACAACAACATGTATGTTAAGACTGTTCGCTCACATCTGTTCGCGTGCTTTTCAATATCCCAACCCCTCGATACCCGCTCTCTCTCTCTCTCTCTCTCTCTCTCTCCGTCTTCGATCGTACCCCTTTGAGGTATATCTTTCTTATGTGCAACTTGAATTTCGTGCAGCCCCTAAGGCAGGGGATGGAAGGACGGATGCAAGGAAGGGACAATGGGGAGGGAGGAGAATGAAGCACGAGAGACAGTAGCAGAAGGAGGGCTGGAAGCAGAAAACACGTGGCGTAACAGGCGGGTCGGGAAGGCGGGCCCAGGCGGCCAGATCGAGCAGGCGGGTTGATGAAGCGTGCGTCCTGCTTGAATCGCGAGGCAGTCCCGAGCGACATCGTGATTTCCACGTAAATCTTCAGAAAATCTACAGCGAGAGCGTGATTCTGAGTGTCGCGGGCGCGGCGTCTGAATACGTTGTAAGGGCGTCCCACGCGAGAGCGCGATTTCTGAATACACTGTAAAGAAGTCCCGCGCGAGAGCGTGATTTGGGAATGAATTGTGAGGAAGTGTCCGGCTGGACCCGCTGTTGTTGTAAACTGGGGGCTGCAGACAATTCTGAGACCTACGATTTTCCCTGATAAACACCCCGGGTGCCAGCCCCAGGAAGGGCACGTCAATTGAAATTCATAATGTGTCCTGGAGGGGGGATCAACAATACATCCTGATTCCTCAGTCGTGACGATTCAATAACAACAGCAACGATAACAGCAGCAGCAGCAACAACAACACCAACAATCAGTTTGATAGTGTTCGTTCTTATCTGCCCGCGTGCCAGTCAACATGTATATCCCAAACCTTCGATACCCGCCCTCTTCGTCTTCGGTCGTGCCTCACTGGGTATATATATATATATACATATATGTATATATATGTGTATATATATATATCTCATGCAACGGGTATTTCGCGCAGCACCTAAGACAGGGGAAGAGAGCACTAATAGAAAGAAGGGACAAGGAGGAGGGTGGATGACAGAGCACCAGAGAGAGAGTAGCAGGAGGAGGGCTAGGAGCAGAACGCACGTGGCAGAACTAGACGTGCAGATCGGGCGGTCAGACCCTAACAGGCGGGTCGGGCAAGGCGAACCCAGGCGGCCAGATCGAGCAGGCGGGTTGCCGATGCATGTGTCTTGCATGAGTCGCGGGAAAGTTTCGAGCGACAGCGCGATTCTCAATACACGATATGGAAATCTACAGCGAGAGCGTGATTCCTAATTGTCGAGTTCGCGGCGCCTGAATACATTGAAGGGGGGTCCCACGCGAGAGCGCGATTTCTGCATAAACTGTAAAGAGGTCCCTCGCAAGAGTGCGATTTGGGAATCAATTGTGCGGAAGTCTCAGGCTGAAGTCGCTAATGTTGTAAACCGAGGGCCGCAGACACAATCTTGAGACCCAGGGCTTCCCCTGATAAAAACAGGGTGCCAGCCCAGGGAAGGGCACTTCAATTGAGCCACACAATGTGTCCCTGAGTGGGGCGTCAACAACACGCATTCATTCTTCAGTAGTGAGGATTCAACAGCACCAACAACAACAACGCCAACAACAACAACAGCAACAACAACAACAACAATAACAACAACGACGACAACAACAACAGCAACAGCAACATATCAGTCGGCATGCACCCACAACAGAAAGCTATCGAGGACGCCTACAGCGAATCGCCGCCGCCCCCTGCCTTTAGAATCGCCCATGTGGCCGAGCGTTGTGGCCAGAGCTCTGCCAAGCTATCGGACCAGGTGTTCCCCCAGCCGTTGTGAAAACCCTTCGGGGAACACTTGGGGCAGGATGGCGAGGAAGATCAGGAGGAGGAGGACGAGGAGGAGGAGAGGGCATCCTGGGAGCCTCTCGGGGCATTCTTGGGGCCTCTTGGGAGCTGGAAGCCTCTTGGAGGCATCTTGGGAGCCTCCTTGAGCCTCTTGGGGGTCTTTAAGGGGCTTCTCGGGGGCCTCTGTGGCAATCTTGGGGCACTCCTGGCCCGTCTGACGCCGTCGGAAGCTGTATGTGGGACCTCTCTGGGCCGACTTGGGGCCCTCTTGAGGTGCTCCAGGGCCGACTTGGAGGCCATCGCGGGCGTCTTGGAGAGACCTTTTGGGCCGTCTTGGGTCCCTATGGGGCCACGAAGCGTGTGAAGGGTGTGCAGACATTGGTGGCATGGACGCCGTTCTGGGGCCATCTTGGAGGCCTCTTGGGCGATCTTGGGGCGATCTATCGGGGCTCTTGGCCTCACAACGGCCCGAGAGGCTTCAAAGACGCCCCAGAGGTCTCCAAGAGGCTTCCCAAGAGATCCCCGAGAGGCAAACATAATTGATGTGTCGATGGTTTTTGAAAGATGTGGGCGTTCTCGTCTTCGCGGCTTTCCAACGCTCCAAGACGGCCCAAGAGGCCTCCAAGACAACCCCAAACGGTTCAAGATGCTTCCAAGAGGGCCCCAAGACGGCTTAAGAGCATCCTAAAACAGCTACAGAGGCAAGAGGGCCCCGAGACGGCCCTAAAAGGGGCCCAAGAGAGGGAACACGAACCGAAAATCGCAGGCTTCAGCCCCAAGAGACCCCCAGGAGGCTCCAAGAGGCCCAAAAGAGACCCCCAAGAGGGTCAACAGAGGCCCCAAAGGCCGCGAAACGGCCCCCCCGAGGCGGAGTGAGACCAGTTTAGCTGGGATAGTAGGAGTTCATATTTCAGATGGACGAGCGTGCAGAATAAATTGGAAAACGCCATACGCGAAGGGGTACCGTTGAGTCCGATGGGTCTATATGTCCTTTAGAAAGAGAGTCCACGCGGTGCAAGCGATGTGATGTAATCTACAGCCAAGACGCTGGAATAAGGACCGTTTTGCGTTCGGAAGGGGCTCGGGGATTCCGGCCGTTTCTTAGATTTATGTCGCGGGATTTGCTTGTGGCCTAGGCCCACCGTGGCCAGAAAAGCCCCTCTGCTCCTTATTTGGCGTTCCTGCTGGTAGTACCTCGACTGTAACCCATGTCGTGCAGGCTGCGTGATGCAATCGCGGGATTTGCCTGTGGTCTAGGCCCACCGTGGCCAGAAAAGCCCCTCTGTTCCTTATTTGGCGGTCCTGCTGGTAGTACCTCGACTGTAACCCATGTCGTGCAGGCTGCGTGATGCAATCGCGGGATTTGCCTGTGGTCTAGGCCCACCGTGGCCAGAAAAGCCCCTCTGTTCCTTATTTAGCGTTCCTGCTGGTAGTACCTCGACTGTAGCCTATGTCGTGCAGGCTGCGTGATGCAATCGCTGGATTTGCCTGTGGCCTAGGCCCACCGTGGCCAGAGAAGCCCCTCTGTTCCTTATTTGGCGTTCCTGCTGGTAGCACCTCGACTGTAGCCTATGTCGTGCAGGCTGCGTGATGCAATCGCGGGATTTGCCTGTGGCCTAGGCCCACCGTGGCCAGAAATGCCCCTCTGCTCCTTATTTGGCGTTCCTGCTGGTAGTACCTCGACTGTAGCCTATGTCGTTCAGGCTGCGTGATGCAATCGCGGGATTTGCCTGTGGCATAGGCCCACCGTGGCCAGAAAAGCCCCTCTGTTCTTTATTTGGCGTTCCTGCTGGTAGTACCTCGACTGTAACCCATGTCGTGCAGGCTGCGTGATGCAATCGCGGGATTTGCCTGTGGCCTAGGCCCACCGTGGCCAGAAAAGCCCCTCTGCTCCTTATTTGGCGGTCCTGCTGGTAGTACCTCGACTGTAGCCTATGTCGTGCAGGCTGCGTGATGCAATCGCGGGATTTGCTTGTGGCCTAGGCCCACCGTGGCCAGAGAAGCCCCTCTGTTCCTCATTTGGGTTTTTTGCTGGTAGTACCTCGACTGTAACCCATGTCGTGCAGGCTGCGTGATGCAATCGCGGGATTTGCCGGTGGCCTAGTCCAACCGTGGCCAGAAAAGCCCTTATGTTCCTTATTTGGCGTTCCTGCTGGTAGTACCTCGACTGTAACCTATGTCGTGCAGGCTGCGTGATGCAATCGCGGGATTTGCCTGTGGCCTAGGCCCACCGTGGCCATAGAAGCCCCTTTTTACTCAGTTGGCGTTCCTGCTGGTGGTACCTCGACTGTAACCCATGTCGTGCAGGCTGCGTGATGCAATCGCGGGATTTGCCTGTGGCCTAGGCCCACCATGGCCAGAAAAGCCCCTCTGTTCCTTATTTGGCGTTCTTGCTAGTAGTACCTCGACTGTAACCCATGTCGTGCAGGCTGCGTGATGCAATCGCGGGATTTGCCTGTGGCCTAGTCCAACCGTGGCCAGAAAAGCCCCTCTGTTCCTTATTTGGCGTTCCTGCTGGTAGTACCTCGACTGTAGCCTATGTCGTGCAGGCTGCGTGATGCAATCGCGGGATTTGCCTGTGGCCTAGGCCCACCGTGGCCAGCCCCTTTTGTTCCTCATTTGGCGTTCCTGCTGGTGGTACCTCGACTGTAACCTGTGTCGTGCAGGCTGCGTGATGCAATCGCGGGATTTGCCTGTGGCCTAGGCCCACCATGGCCCACCGAGCGCGCTCCACTGCTCGCAGAGTGCCTGCTCGCAAGCGTCCGAAAGGCACAGGTATTACCGCAGATTTGGCCCTGGGTGCCCCCAGCTCGTCGCTCTATTCTGGAGCCCCTGGGGCCCTCTGGGCCTCGAGAAGGGGTGCTCTGGAGGCCGTGGAGGCCGAGGGGACAGGTTATGCTCTCAAGCCTGTCCCAAGAGACTTGCAAGTCCGCGCCAAAACGCCTGTCTGCTCCGATGTGATGTACCGCAGATCCTCCGCAGGGGATCCAGGCCATGTGCGAGCAGTCGCGTTGCAAGTAGTGGAACGCGCTCGCCTATCTTCGGGGGCGGAAAAGAGGGGGGTGATGACTAGGGGGGGTGGATATCATGGCGGGGGCCATGATATCTCCCCAGATTTTATAGCGCCTCTTCTTATTTCATCACGTCCCTGGCCCCCCCGCTGGGCCGCACACGTGCCGCCGGTCATGATTTGCACCCCCCCCTATTGGACACCCCCCTCTTGGCCGCTCCCGATATCTTTGGATCAGACAACACCCGGGCCCCCGTCCAGCGCGGGACGCCCGCGAGGCGCCTCCAGGCGGGCTCCGGGCGAAGCCTCGGCATGCCCCCAAGCGCGGGGCGCCCATGGGGGGGCACCCACCGGCAACCCCGGAGCACCCAGCCAGCGACCGGAGATTAAAAGAATAGGAGGTAAGAGCACCTAAGTGGCATTGGGGAAAGCAGATAGTTGTCTCTTGACGGCGTGGGCCTCTCGGGCGGTATCGTTGGCAGCTTCTGTGGCCACCCTGGACCGTGTTGGGAGACATGTTGGGTATCATCTTGGACCACGACGGACAATGTTTCTCCGTCTCGGGCCATCTCAGTCTACCTTGGCGCCCTCGACACGTCTTGACCACCGCGTCATAACCCCCCCCCGAAGACAGCAGGCTCGTCACATGATATGCCAGCCTGCCAGCAAGTGCCCCATGGAAGTGTCCGCATCCACCCGCGACCTTGGGGGGCACGCAGAAGCTCTGGGGCACCGCAGAGCCTGCAAGGATCACGAAATGCGTCCTACTACAATTCGAAGCCAGATGTGTTATCGTGTGCGTCTACGGGACGACAAAGGGGGCGTGGAGGAGCTGATGGCGTAAAGTACCTGCGCCCAGTGAGCAGGCAGGTAGTGATCCCCGCAGCAATCAGCAGCTCCAAAGGCCGTCTGCGCAGGCACGGCATTTAGGCAGCCGTTCTGGGGTAGGTGCAGGAGGTGCGCTTGATTGCGCGCGGCCATCTGCACCTGTGCACGTACGCACGCATCACCCAATAAGCGGCTCTCTCCTTTTGAGAGCCTCCGGAGGACCGCTCCAATCAGGAAGATGAGTTCTGCGGCCAGAGCTCATCCGAGGCGTTTCGGGCGGGGGCGTGCTGAACCCAATCCTAGGAGGTGGCGTTCAGGGTTTGTGCTGCCATTGGCCCTGATCCTCGTTAGACCGGTGACATGGTTGTGAAATGTGGGACGCGTTGGCACACTTCTCGCGTCATGTTGATGACCGTTGCAGTGTGAAGACCAGGACAGATAGAGACAGGCGGGAGAAGGGTGAGGAGGAGATGGAGAAGGAGGAAGACGAGGCGCAGCAGTCGCAAGAGTAGCATCAGGAGGAGCATCGGCAGGAACAGGAGCCTGAGCCGTTTCTGCGGATGCAGTTCTTGATGCCAAGATGGCACCAAGCGAAGTGCAATCAGGAGTGCACCGTTTAGCAGCATCACGCAGGGGAGAAGAAGACGAGGCTAAGGAGGAAGAAGAGGGAATGAGGATGAGAGGCGGCGCAGAGGAAGGAGGGCGCCGTCGTAGCTCAAAACAGCGGAGGGGAGGCCAGTGGTTTAACCAAGGCTGCTCTCAAGAGGGCCCGCAAGACACCGTTGGCGCTGGCTTCAACGCTGGTCTGGAAGGGGAGGTAACGAGCATAGCTCGTGCCCTGGGATGTCTTTCTGCTTTTTCATCCCGCCCTGCTCATCACCACCTCCCTTATTGTTGATGTTCCTCCCGCTCGTGCCCCTGTTTCTCCTCTACGTGTTCTCCGAGCAGAGATCCACCCCTTGTTGACCGCATGTTGACATAACCAGTGCACGTCAAGGCTACTGCACACACTTCCTTAGTGCAAGCACTGTGTGGGACAGGTTCAAATGGTGATTAAGTGGACGTGTATGGCCCCCTCCACGCAAGGCTTCACACTTCACCAGCGGTGTGTGAAGTTTCCCTAGGTAGCCTGAGTGAGACGCGTGCTGGGCACGTACCAGCTGGCGGTGCCCGCTGCGGTCTTGAGGGCAGTGCTGGCTGCGGCACTGCACTGGTGCTTGTTTGGCTTCGCTGTGACTGCGGCGGTCCTCGCCAGCATCGCGCGCCCCTTCGAGTAGCTGATGGCGGCGCGCAGGCTGCCAGTAAGGGCTGCGGTAGCGCTGCTACGCATGCGCGCCACTGCAGGCGTCTCGCTGGGCGGCAGCGTGGCAGCACCTCGCGCCGATCGACGGCTGTTGGGCCGAGCGCCTCCCGGAACTGCTCACCGCGGGCCAGCGGCGCAGCGGCGCAGGCGCTGGCCAGCCTCGCCGACGGCGTACTGGCTGCGGCGGGACGCGGTGGGCGCCGCGCCGCGACGCCCTGCGAAGGCGTGCGGGCCAAGGTCGCTCCAGCCTCCCCCCGCGTGCTGGCGGCGCCGTCGCGGAATTCCTCGGCCTCACCGCCCGCGTCGCGCGCTAGCGGCAGCAACCGCCCGCGTCGCGCGCTAGCGGCAGCCGGACGCCGCCGGCGCGCGCGCGCGGGAGGGAGGTCGCGCCTCGCGAGCTCCCCGCCGCCCTGCTTGCAGGCCCTGGCCGCGCGCGCAGTGGCGCGCGCTCCTGTTAAGCCACAGAATGCGCGACGCTGAGGTCAGCGCAGCTTTGTGAGTCACTTCAAGCGGCTGCTGGCCGGCGTAGGAATCGGGGGCAACGATAGGGGGTGGGGTAGGCATAGGGGGGATGCATCGACCCCCACTCGCCCATTGATCGCCGATAGGGGCCCAGTAGCCCCAACCTGCCCAGAAGGGGTGGATTCACGATCGGAGGCCTATCGCCAATCCATCGGCGATGTATCGCCGATTCCAGGTCTATGCATCCCCCCTTATGCCAGTCCCCCCCTATCGCTGCCCCTCAAGAAAGCGGCAGGCCAGGGCGGGAAGCATCTGCCAGGAGTCGGCGGTGCATCCCAGCCGCTCCAAGAAGGAGCCCCGCAGGACCGCGGAGACGCCCGAGGCCGCCGATGCCGTCCTTACGTACGGGCCTGGAGGAGGAGGAGGAGGAGGAGGAGGAGGGGGAGGAGGAGGAGGAGGAGGAGGAGGAGGAGGAGGAGGAGGAGGAGGAGTGGGAGGAAGAGGAGGAGGAGGAGCGGGGACGCAAGACGGCCCGTCCCCGCGGCGGCGCAGAGCGCCGCAGGGGCTTACAGTCGGACCGATGCATAAGATCGAGATCGGTTCGGGGAGGGTGCCCTGGTGTGCTTCGTGTCTGTTGGACGTTGTTGTGCATCATGGGGAGGGTACCCTTAAATGTTCTGTGTGTTTTGGCCGGCGGAGGTCTCATGTTCTTGAGGGATCTTTCTTCTGGCCTAGGTCCGACTGCATTCCTTCAAGATAGCTTCAGGAAAGTGGTCGGGGTCGTCGGGATCTTGGGGGAGCGCGAGGGGGTGTACGGCAAGTTCGTATCGCGTCGACGCGGTTGCGAACCCGTTGCGGGTGATTCAAGATTTGACGTTGGCGGTGGCCCAGAATCGGCATATAAGGAACGGCCTGGCGATCTAAAAGCCGCCGACCGTTCAAGGTGGAACGATACGCGCAGTGTCGGAAACCAGTGCAGGTGTCGGCACGACACGAATTTGATGTGTGTACAGCCATGTGCCCATGCTCCCCTCGCCACGGCGCTCGAGCTATCGCTCCCCAGCCCGCCCTTGAGCCGAAGCTCTCTGAGGCGTCGCCGTCGTTTCCAGGAAGGAGCCAGGAATGGAGACGCCAAACGGCCCGTCCCCGCGAAGGCCATCGACCCATTAGTCTCGTTTCTCCCAGGTGTTTTGAGAGGCGCAAGGGTAGTGGCTGGATGATGAAGATGATGTTGTTGATGATGATTATGATGACGATGCTGATAGTGGTGATGATGTTTGTGATTATGATGGTGATTTTAATGCTGATTGTGACGCCGATGGTGATGACGATGACGACATCTGACATGTTGATTATGATGCTGATGAGGTTGATGCTGGCGCCGATGATGATGACGATGGGGATGACGATGATGGTGATTATGATGGTGGTGGAGATGATGATGAAGATGATTAGGGTGATGATGATGACGACGGTGATAATGATGATGACGGCGGTGATGATGGTGTTGATGGTGTTGATGGTGTTTGAGACGATGTTGATGTCCGCGCTGGTTGAGAGGATCCTTGAACAAAATCGCCAACTCGCACCCACCCCCACCCCTGACAGCTCCCTTCCCCCCCTGTGCTGTCCCCTGTTGTTTTTTCTGACCCCTGGTTCCTCACCCTTCCTTATGTTATTCCTCCTGCTATGCTTTCCTTATCCCTGCTTACTCCCCAATTGTTCTTGTCCATTATGTGCTCTTTATCCCAGAGGGCACGCGATTCAAACTGAAGTGGGTCCAGGGAGATAGGGAGCTGAACCGACGGGCGCCCAGCGTCGGAGTGTGAAATGGGAGAAGCGGGGGGGGCAGGGGGAGACAGAATGGGGCATCGAGCTGGAGATGAGCGAGCGAAGGAGACCGAGAGAAGTGGTCGTTGGCGCCGTGGGCTTCGGACCCTTCCTGGACTTCCCCAAACCGCTTCGCCTCGCACGCGGAATCCAAAGCTGAAGCTAGAACGGCAAAGTTGCAATATAAAAACACGCGAGAAGAAAACGCTTCAATACAACAGCAATTGTACATCTGATCATGGTCGTTGTTTCTCGCGATCTGTCATGCTGTCTGATTCACGTGGAGCGCTTCTGAATTGATTGAACGCGTTATCGCATAGGCAGGCACTCAGTCATAGCATGTTGCGCCTGGTAACGGGATATCTCTCCTGTGCTAGGGGGCCTGATAGAGTGCTTTGAAGTGCGGGCGTGTGGTGGTGCTGGCGAGTCTGTTTGTCGTGTGCTGGCGCTGTCAGGAAGCGGAGCAATTGAGGCCGTTGTGCAAGTTGCAAGGATATCTGCAGCGATTCGACCTCATATCCGAGTTGATGTTGCCGAGGTACGGTGTGAGTTGCGCCAGTTCCAAGAACATGTCGCGGAAGCAGTGTGCATACATATGGAGGTGCAGGAGGAAGAAGAGAGGAAGGAAGCAGGAGGATGTAGCGACACCATCCCGGCAAAGTGTTTACGAAGAGTGCGATATCAAGGGCAGGGAAGGTGGTGGCGGCACGTTCACCGCCGAGTGGAACCCAGTGTCCAGGCACGATGAACCTTTCGTCGGCGTTAGGTGGTAGTCGTCGGCGCGGTCTTGGTCGTGTGAGTCGTGCTCTTGGTCGTGTGATCATCGTCGCTGTTCTGGTCGTCGCCGTCGTCGTCGCCGTCTCATCATTCATGGTGGTCGTCGACGTCCCGCTTTCATTCGATATTACACGGTGGTGGGTTAAAACACTGTGGTGCGCCCCTTGAAAATCAGCCGCCCAAGATCATGTTTTTGACGAGCCACGGTCACAGAAAATGTACGGCGCTGTGTCGCTAGTGTTCGTCGTGCCTCGTTCGTGCCAGCATGGTTTCCACACGCGCCGCTCCCGGTTCAGGGAAGGGTGCTCACGGTTTTCACCCGCAGCTCAGGCTCGTGTGTTTCCCCCGCCCTCGGTGACTCCCACCGCCGGCATCTCCTCGACTGCCGCATCCCGTGTGCGCGAAGACATCCAAAACCCACGCCCTTGACTTGGAACACACATGGCAGACCCTGAACCTTCGGAGGTCCGAGCGGGGTTCCTGGATCGGCGCTGGACCCCCCCTTCCTGGCGCGCGGAGCGCAGCAGGGGCGGCGCCGACGGCGCCACCGTGGTGACCCAGCGCAGATAAAAAAGGGACACGCGCGGACTTCCGAAAGTTGAAGCTGATGAAGTGTTTTGTCCTTCCAGCCCTAAGGGCACGGCCGCCAGTCTCCCAGATCCAGGGGACACGCGCGGACTGCCGAAAGTTGAAGCTGATGAAGTGGTTTGTCCTTCCAGCCCTAAGGGCACGGCCGCCAGTCTCCCACCCTGGTGCCCAGAACAGCGACGAGATCGCGCCGACATGACCGCACACGGCGGTCAAGGCAGCGGCAAGAACGGTGGGACCGCTGGCTTGCGGGACCCACTTTTCTGGATGCGGCCCCGTGCCAGCCGCACTGGGCCACGTTCCCGACACAAAGATCGAACAAGAAAAGGCGATACAGCCTGACCGATGTACCAGATGGAGGTCGATTCGGGGAGGGTACCCTAGTGTTCTTCGTGTTTGTTGGATGCTATTGTGCATCCTTGGGAGGGCACCCTTGGATTGTCGGTTTGTCTTGGCCGACGGAGGGCCTCATGTTCTTAAAGGTTGTTTTTTTTCCGGCCTGGGTCCGACTGTATGAATCAGCTTGCTTGGGTCCGCACGGATGCTTTGGATTGGCGCCAGGCCCCTTTCGACAGCGCAATTGGCGCCGCCCCGCGCATCCAGCGCCGATCCAAGAAATCCGCGTGGACCTAGTGTTATGCTTGTAGCATGTTTCTTATGGTGTTCCCGTACGGTGGTTTGTATTTGTATGGTTGTTCTGTGTAGTAGCAGTAGTAGCAGTAGTAGTAGTAGTAGTAGTAGTAGTAGTAGTAGTAGTAGTAGTAGTAGGAGTAGTAGTAGTAGTAGTAGTAGTAGTAGTAGTAGTAGTAGTAGTAGTAGTAGTAGTAGTAGTAGTAGTAGTAGTAGTAGTAGTAGTAGTAGTAGTAGTAGTCGTAGTAGTAGTAGTAGTAGTAGTAGTAGTAGTAGTAGTAGTAGTAGTAGTAGTCAGTAGTAGTAGTAGTAGTAGTAGTAGTCTAGTAGTAGTAGTAGTAGTAGTAGTAGTAGTAGTAGTAGTAGTAGTAGTAGTAGTAGTAGTAGTAGTAGTAGTAGTAGTAGTAGTAGTAGTAGTAGTAGTAGTAGTAGTAGTAGTAGTAGTAGTAGTAGTAGTAGTAGTAGTAGTCGTAGTCGTAGTAGTAGTAGTAGTAGTAGTAGTAGTAGTAGTAGTAGTAGTAGTAGTAGTAGTAGTAGTAGTAGTAGTAGTAGTAGTAGTAGTACGCCGTGCCCGTCCGGGCCACGCGCCGTGCCCGTCCGGGTCCCACGCCGTGCGCCCTGCCCGTCCGGGTCCTACGCCCCGCGCCGTGCCCGTCGGGGTCTCGCGCCCCACGCCGTGCCCGTCCGGGTTCGCGCTTGCGCGCCTCAGGAATCCCTGAAGTGTATGAGATGAGGGGATCCTAAGGGAATCCTGAAGAAGTGGTAGCGAATCCGAAGGGAATCCTAAGGAATGCTAGCGAATCCGAAGGAACCCTAAGGAATCCGACCGACGAATCCTC